TGTCCTGCCCAGGGAAACTCAGTTTCTTCATGTTGTATAAATTTGATACTCCAGGCATATTATCTTTCAACACTCTTTTGTGTGAGTATGGGGCAGCTGGTAGAAAAGCAGACAAATGTACATCAATAAAAAGGACATGGTGATTTTTTTTTTTTTGTATGTAGGAGGGAAAAGAATGGTGAAGAACCTAACCTTTTCTCACCTTCTCATTTCTTCCTGTGCTAGCATGTCAACATGACACGCTTGTTTTACAATCTCATTTACCTTTCTCAGGAAAGCAATGGCCAGTAATCTCATACTGATAAATGAATGAATATGGTGAGCTCACATAGACTTGGGTGTTGTGCAATAAGTAGAAACTCTTACTAAATATCTCCATATTCACCTAGGGCAGCTGTATGCTTAAGAATTTCTAATAATGTCATAGTTTAGTTAGATTAGAAAGTAATTGGAGAAGATTGTCTAAAGTAGTCATCATTTGATGATTGCTGTAGGGTGATTTAAATTTTCTTTATCTTCCCTAATTTCCATAGTTCTAACAAAGCTCCTATGGATGTTAGAATGAGAAAAATAATAATGTATTTACTATAAAAGAAAGAATTTCTAATAATCTCAATTTCTTCTTTGTTCTGGAGTCAGTTTTACTGTAATCGTAGCTAATCTGTGCTTTAGTTCCTACCCATATAATTATTTTGTCTGTAGGAAAATGTCAGTAGATCTGACAGTTTTAATTCTTGTGTTTACTGACTGCTTTTCCTTCTGAATCATAGGTTCCAAAATGAAGTCAAACAGGTTACAAGACAGAGTACACTTTAGTGTCACACGTACTCTTATCTTAAATGAGTTTGGGAATATATCAAGCACTTTCATAATGTTAACTACTTCATTTCTGGCTTCTTGGCTCTCAGTTTTAATAAACCCACATCCTGATGAGTCTTTTAAGTATTAAAAAAACACTAGGAAGTATATGATGGTAAAACATATGCTTTACTCTTCCCTTTGAGAATTTGATTAAATTTCTCAAAATTCAGAGTTGAAGTAAATCTGACCATTTGATGCCCATGGACCAGGGTATGCATAATTCAATCGAGAGAAGAAATACATGTTGTATGTCATTGATTTATCCATTTCAGTTGCTATCAATCTCACAGGAGAAGCCAAATAAATGGATTTGGAAAAGAAGAAAAATCAAAAGAGTTGAGAAGTCCAAAAGTCATCAAGTTTTCAAGCCATCCCGTGCTTGAGTCTTACCTACTGTCTTTCCTTCCACTTGTATCTGCTCAAACATCCAAGGAAGAAATCTGCTCTTATTCTTTTATCTTTGGAGTTAACCCCTGTTCTACATCTTCCTTTTAATATTCATGGGCATCTATTGTTCATCTCCTAAATTTTCTCTTTTCTAGTTTCAACAAAGAAATCCTTTAACTGGTAATTTGAATGGTACAGGTTTAAATCCTCTCTTAGGATCTTGATTGCTCTTGCTGGGGGCAGCATATGCTATGTAAAGATGACACTCAATCTAAAAGGGAGTCCAGAAAGATCTTCCTTGTGGTTTGCCTGTGGAATAGGGACATGGGCCTCCAAGTTCCTTGGGTTTGCCTGTGACATTTCTTAGAACCATATTAAGATCTGAGGAATGTTAGCACTACTGTCTTTTCCAGTTGCAGTTAAAAACGAGTCAACAAAAGAAAGTCTTTCAGATTTAACAACCTCCTCATAGGATTGCTGAAAATTCAAGATTCTATGAGAAAACATCAATTGATCTACTAATACTGATTGTTTCAGTATATCTTAAGGGAAGTCGTAGCTATCTGGCCCTTAGAAGTAGCCAAGTAACCATTCCAAAAGCATTTTAGAAATACCTACTAAACTAGAAGCTGTCAGGTACTGGCAACATAGAGATCAATAAAACATGTCTTCAGCCTTAAGGAATTCACAGATGAGTGGGGAAATTAGCAGTAACCTGTCAATTATGATAATATACTGTGATCAGTACCAGGGTAGAGTCCCATTCAAGGCACTGAGAATAGAGAATGCCTTGTGGGGAGGCTACTCCAGGCTTGTCTCTCTGTGGTATTTTTCTGGCTTTCCTATATTGCCAACAATACAGTTTCCATAATTACTACATACAGTATTGCTGGAGGCTGCACAAAGGACTTACATATCATCTCATGTCTCTTAGACATGCCAACCTCATAGAGGTTCTACATGGAACCCTTCTACAGTGGAGAAAACAAGCATAAATGAACTGATTTGCCTAAGTTTACCACATATAATCAGTCCATAATTTAACCCTAATATATAACCTTTCACCTATGAGAGTCTTTATCTTGAACAATGGTTTCCAAGCAGGATGATTTATTTTTTCCTTAAAAAAAAAAAAAAAAAAAAAGGACAGGCAAGCACTGGGTGGCTCATGCCTGTAATCCTCGCTACTCAGGAGGCTGAGATCTGAGGATCGAGGTTCAAAGTCAGCTGGGGCAGGAAAGTCCATGAGATTCTTATCTCCAATAAACTACCAGAAAACTGGAAGTAGTGCTGTGGCTCAAATGGTAGAGTGCTAGCCTTGACCTGAAGAGTTGAGGGACAGCACCCAAGCCCAGAGTTCAAGCCCCACAACCAACAACAACAAAAAAAGACATTGGCATTATCTGCAGACATTTTTAATTGTTGTTTCTGATATCTGATGGATAGAAGTCAAGCTCAGTAATGGTGTCAAATATCCTCCAAAGTACAAGAAAGCTCCCTCCAAAATACAAGAAAGCTCCCTCCAAAATTACCCAGGCTAAATAAGCTATTAATAGAGAGAAGCCCTAATAGGACTTTGGGACTACTTTTTTTTTTTTAAAGTAAAATCACCCCTAGATACTGGTTCTGGGAACCCCCAAATCTACCAAAGTCTACACATGCTCAAGTTTCTTACATAAAATTGTGTTTTTTAAAAAATATATAGCTTGCATATATCCTTTTGTATTTTAAGTCAATAGCTAATAAAATGTGAGTGATATAAACTGTTGTTATAGTATTTAGGGAATGAGGACAAGAAAGAAAAGTCTGTATATATTCATTAGTGACTCACTTTTGTTCTCAAATATTTTCAATCTGAGTATGTTTTTTTTTTTGTAATTGTTGTTTGTTTGTTTGTCATGGGACCTGAACTCTGGGCCTAGGTGCTGTCCCTCAGCTCTTCATCTCAAGGCTAGCACTGTACCATTTGAGCCACAGTGTCACTTCTGGCTTTTTTTCTGCTTATGTGGTACTGAGGAATCGAACTCAGGGCCTCATGCGTGTGAAGCAAGCACTCTACCATTGAGCCACCTTCCCATCCCCTCTGAGTATGTTTGAATTCATGAATGTAGAAGCAGTGAAAGTATTTGTTTGTTTGCGTACCAGCACTGAGACTTGAACTTTGAGTCCTGTGCTCTTTGCTTGGCGTTTGGCCTAAGGCTAGTACTCTAACACTTGTACTGCTCTCCACTTCTGGCTGTTTTTGCTGATTAATTGGAGATAAGAGTTTCAAGGATCTGTCTGCCTAGACTGGTTGTGAACCATGGTCCTCCATCATCCTCAGATCTTAGTCTCTCCGCTAGCTAAGATTGCTGGCGGGAGCCACCAGTGATCAGTTGATCAGTTTGTTCTGAAAGAAGAGATAATCTAGGGCATAAATGCTGGAGAAAAGCTTTCAGTATCTCAGGAAGTGTGTTTTGTTACTTTGTGTCCCATCCCTAACCTCAAATTCTCAGCTGTAACAGTGGGGAAAATTTTATGTCCCCTGTGCCAGCTGGTAAAAATCTGTGGAAACTATGGAAGAATGTGAGGGTTGTGCATAAGAATTATACTCTGACACTCTTAATATTTGGTATGAAAATACTTTTGTGGGCCACAAGCATATTACATCAGATTTAAAGCAGCTAGTTTAATTATTTTTTCTTTACATACTTTTGTACAAGCACTTGTGGTTTGGAGGAGTTATTTAAATACCTTCTTTCAAAATGAACAACAAGTTTGGCTCATCCCTCCCCTTCATTCTTTCCTTTTCAGACAGATCTAGTATGCTGGAAGGGAAACTAATTCTATCTAGCACGTGTTCAATCAGTGCCAGACAATATATTTACATGTGATGGTTGACCTTTACCTATCTCTGTCATTCATATCCACGAAACCAAACAAGTGTGTACTACAGTAAATCCATCAAACGACTGTAAACTCATGAATGTAGTTTTACTGAGGTTTTTCGGTGATGGTGGCTTTGCCTGTGTATGTGTGCTTTTCCTCCACAACAAACAGCGTCATGGTCAAGAGTCACTCACTAGGGACTTCCCTGGGAGGGTTTTAATTGTGCCCTGTCCCGCAGTGAATCACTGATCAGCCTTCAGGTGTGCAGAGCACACACTTGAGCCTGTTCTGGCGTAGCAGCTGGAGTTATTTATTTATTTTGGAGGACGGATCCATTTCAGGCTGAGGATGGGGGAGCAGCGGAGGATGCTCGGTGTCCCACGCCTGCTTCTTGGGCAGCACCCCCACTCGGCTCCCTTGCCCAAGAGGCCTCCACTCTAGGTTGGGGTAGCACGTAGGGAGCGTCAGACTGGGAAAGTGCCCTGTCTCTCCTTTCCAGCTGGACCCTGGGAGGGTCCACAACGTGTCAGGTTCAAGTGTTCCCATAGGCCAATTTTCTAGAAGTGCTTTTTAAGTTTCCATTCCGTCCCCCCCCCCCCCCTGCTTCTAGGAGGGGAGGGCAAGAAGAGCTTTTTCCTATTCAAATTCTTTTCCTTGTATGTAGATACCAAAAGGAAAGGCTACACTGGGCATGTTCGGATGTGAATGGTGTTTTGCTGATAAGCAACAGCCTCCCGGAACTGAAGACTTAAAATAGTCATCCTCCTCCCTCCACCTCCACTCCCCCCTGCAGAGGCTGCAAATGGTATCTGCCAAACAGATGACAAAGTACCTTGGACTGAATCACACAGAGACAGCATTTTGAGCAGAACGCACGGCTAAACTCTTGTAATTACAGTTTATAGCCGGCCAAGGCTCACTAGGAGAGGGCAAACCCAAGAGGAAATAAGTTTCCTGAACCTTTGAGCGATGGCTGTGCATTAATTAAAGGCTAGAATGGGACGGGTAATTCTCAGACATGCTGCAAGTTGTTCTTGAGATCAGAGTTCACATCACGTTTTTCTTTGGAGGGAGTGAGTAGATAATTGGGATTATTATTATTATTTTTCTTCTTCTTCTATTTCTTTGATCCTTCTTCTTCGTCTTGGTCTCATGGCCTTGAACCCGCAGTGAATTGAAGAGAGAAAGAAATGGATATGTCTGACCCCAATTTTTGGACTGTGCTCTCAAACTTTACGCTGCCTCACTTGAGGAGTGGAAACAGGCTTCGGCGAACACAAAGGTAAAAAACAAAAAAAAACCCGCGGTTCCTTTGGTTAGAGAGGGAATGAATGCTTTCTCTGCCCAGAGCTCAGAACCCCCTGGGCAGCTGGGGTTTTGTTATTGGATAACAGTCTGAAAAGTTTACACCTTATTAAATGGGATGGTGGGGGGAGTTATTTCAGGTATTCTGCACTCTGTGAGTCTCTGGGTAATCCTGGTAAATGTGCTCCTGAGTTCCTCTTGGAAATGTGGGTGGTAAGACTTTTCTTGGGAATAGTGGAGAGAAAAAGGAGAGGGAGAGGAGGAGGCACTTCGTTTTAGTCTGTTCTTTTGATCCAATTGTGTTTATCATTTATCCAGACCTGGGCCTTCTGGTACTCCTGATAGAACCTTTCCGATATTCTTCTCCATAAAGAACTACTTGATCTTTATAAGATGCAGTTGTATGATGCAAAATAACAACAACAACAACAATAATAATCCATGCTATCCTATTTCCTATGGACTGCTTTTAAAGAGGCAAATCTGTGTTTTAGTCTTTACTGGTTTGCTGTCAGATATTGCTAATGCAGGGCTGGCCTTTTCATTTTGTACTATCTATTTGACAGAACGGGTAGGGGAAACTTTTCAAAGTCACAAAGAACCTCCTGCTGTAGGTTGAAAGGCATTCGAGCTTAGTTTGTTGACGTTTGGAATGAGAGCATATGATTTTAAGAGGTATTTCTCTTCTCATTTCTGTGGAGAACAGCAAAGTAAGATTGTTGTGGTTTGAGAGGGCTACATCCTCTGAGGTATGTAAATATAGATGCCTTGCTTTTCATCAGAACGCATGAAAGCAACAGTCCAATCAAATAAACAGGATGCCGACTATCAGATTTGGAACTTTGTAATCTCTGTACGCCACTATTCAAAGAATGAAAGAATATGCTTCTTTGAGTTTGGTGACACCTGTAACTATTTGAAGTATAAATGGCAATATGTAGCACTTAGAAAAATTTAGTGCATTATTTATTTTTCATAATATCTCTTGGATTTTGTAATATGCTCACACACAGTCCTTAGATGTATAAACACTGATCCCATGCTTGTGTGTGTGTGTGTGAGAAAGAGACAGAGACAGATACAGAGAGAGAAGAAATCTGATAGGGTGTAAAGCCATACTTTTTCCTGCAAATTGAACATGATTGACATCGCTAAATCCAGATATGCCTTTTGAGAGATACGGCTCTCCTTTCTCTTCTGATTCTGTGATATATTGTGTTGAGATGATTTACTTTTTGTGAGTTTTATTTTGGTCAGTATTGGTCAGTTTTGTTCAAATTATATCACTCATGTACCAAACCTCCAAAATAACTAGTGAAAGAAGAGGCATGCATCCTGTGTGCCCCCTTGTTGTGGTAAATGTGATGGCTTCTTTTGACATTTCCTAATGGTGTAATCCTGGCTACCATACATCCTCTACTCTTACCTGGAGCCAGTTTTTGAGGCGATAAGGTATCCTGACACTACGTGTCTGAGTCTGAAGAGCAGTTGTATTGTAGTCTTTCTTTCCCTTGCCTACCTGTTGGCAGTACTGTATTGCTGATAGTACACTATTGAGAGTCCAGTGCCAGAGGAATTCTCAGTCTGGTCCAGCCCTGGCTGTAGGGCATTATCTGTGCCATCACTCCAATTCAGCAGCTTACATTGGTTCTAAAGTAATGCGGGTTAGGAGAGCATGGGAGAGCTGCTTTCACACCCCAAGCCACAGGCCTCCATCTTTAGTTCAGCAAAGCCTACAGGATTTTCCTTCTTTCCTTCTAGTAGTAGAGGTTGTCACAGCCATTATCTAGGAATTTCTAGAATGCGTGGAATTTGGAAATAAATGTTCTAAAGATCATCTCTACCTCTATCCCATCATTGTCCCACTTAATGGCTAGGGACCAGAAGTGTTTCAGATTTCATACTGTTTTCAGAGTTTGGAATATGTGCACATACTCAACTGGCTAAGTATTTCTAATCCCAAAATGCTCCAAAATTGAAAACTTTTTGAGCACATTGTTTTACATTTGGGAGACATTTGGTTTTTGAGTTTTCAGATTAGAATGCTTGGCATGTAGACTTGGAAGGGTAAAGGGCAGGTGCCCCTCTCTGCAGGGTAGTATGTGTGTGTGGCTGTACATCCTGCCATTCTATAAGGGTCAGTTCTAGCTGTGTTCCTCTTTGAAGTCATGAAGCATACGGTTATATTGTGACTTTTCCTTCTGCAATATTCCTTCACTAACTTCTAACACCTGTATTCTCCAAGTCTCACCCCAGTCCTTACCTGGCTGGTCAGTTTCCCTAGAATTCTATATTTTGTAAAGGATATGTTTATTCCCAAGTTGTATTGTCTTTTGCCAGGCTGAGTAACATTTTGCAGCTGAGGACATTTTGCCCTTGCCCTCTTTGAGGTCTGTCTTTACCTTTGGAACCTCTCTCTTGCCCAGAACCTATACTTGCTAACTTGCCTGCAAGAAAAGAGGATGAATGATTTCCAGATTTTACCTTGAATGTCCATTGTAGGAATTGTCAGCATGAAAGTTTTTGGTTTGCTGAACCTCACCTGCCTTTAAGCTCCCACATGGCACTATCTTATTACTTTGTTCTGTTATTGAGATGTTCTTCAACTCAAAGTCCTACCTAGCCTATTACTCCTTGTGTTCTGGGGTAAAGGAATCTATAGATGTTCATTAGGCCTAGATGTTCAGGATTGTAGAGTATTATAAAGTTGGCATATTTGGGGAGGAAAGGAATGGTAGGGGAAAAACAAAAGAAGGAGTAAACAATATCCGATAGGAAATGGACTCATTATCTTGCTCCTATAACTAACTGTAACCCTTCTGTACAGTATCTTTATGATAAAAATATATATTTAAAAAAAGATGGCATATTGTACCCGCTCTTCTTTTTTTCTGTCGTATGCACAGTGTGAATGCATGCTGTCTTATATCTGCTATTTTGATGTACAGCTCAGATATGCTATTGGAAAATGTTTCCTTTTTGTAACTACCTTTACTTTTCTCTCACCATTCACTTTCTGCTTTTAGGCACAGAGATCTGGATTTCATAGACTCATCCATTTTTTAAAAAAATTTACACTTAAGTGAAAGTTGCATGTAATAGAAGCTTTGTAGATTCATGGATATTGTATTTTTTGATAATTCCCTAGCAATATTGGCAAGCAGTTGGCCTATATTCATGTCACTGTGTGTATACATGTATGCACACACACATACTTTATTTATTTATTATTTTTATTTAAATCAATACAGCCTTAAATCAGTATGACCCTCTTCTATGCCAATGAGCAGTTTGTGACTTAGTTGCTTATTTGGGCCAAATTTCTGAACTTATTTTTCCGAGAACTCCAGATTCTGAGACCCAATATGTAAAGAAAGATTCTTAAATTAACTGCTGTGGTTGGGAGAATATATTGAATTTTCATGTTCACTTTATCCTTCCTTTAAAACATCTGTAATGTATGATGAGTTTTTCTGTTTGTTTTGTTATGAACATATGAGGATAACAAATAGATTTCTCCCCTGCGTTGGCCCTCTGGGTGTCAGGAAACTTGTATTCACTCTTTTCACTCAATGTCTACTTAAATCCACATTTGTTAAGTCTCTGTTGTACACCTGGGCACTGTGACCCGTCACTGAAAGCCATAGGCATCCCTTCAATGGAACATGGAAATGAATCACAATGCATACTAGGTCAATGGAGAAGTATTTACGAGCTACGTGTATACTGTAGGAGTTGTCCAGGCAAGAGAAGCAGGTTTCAGGTAGCCAAGGAGAGACACCATGTAGAAAAACCAAATCTCAGAAGGCCTTGAAAGAATGGTTAGTGTTATCAGACAGGACAAGGCTTCCCCACAGGGCAGAGAAACAGTATATTCAAAGGATGATGACAGTGCCAGTGGAGTTCAAGGAAGTCTACATAGCTGAGTGTTGCTGGAGCAGAAGGAACCAGAGCATAGCTCAGTGTTGCTGGAGCAGAACATGAAGAGGCCATGCAGGCAGTGCAAAGTAGTTAGGAAAGTTGACCTGGAGCCAGCTCAGAATCTTTACTCTGCTGTTAGGTAAGTTAGCTTCTGTGGACTTGGGTTGTTCCATCTGTGAGCTGGGGATAAGTAAAGTACTTACTGGATTGTTGTGAAGATTCAAATGCATTCCTATGTGTAAGTTGATTAATGTGATGACTGGCATATAAAAACTCTGAATAAATTTTAGCTGTTTCATTACAGCTTCGTTTCAACAGGAGATGAGTAGGGGGGTGATGAGGCTGAGAAGGGGAGCTGAGGGCCTTTGCCCTTTATCCTTGGAGGAGGGAGCTGCTAGTGGCCCTGGACAGTTCCAGCCTTGGAGTAGGATGAAACTTCACTGGCAATCAGCAAGTCATTGAAATAGCCTAGCTGAAAGATTTTTATAGGCCTCCACAAAGAAGGTGACGAGCTAGAAAAATTAAGGATGTAAAATTGACAGAAGCGGATAACCCATGGACCCTTAAGAACAAAGGAAGATTCTATGATGGCCCTAAGTTTTTGACTTGGGGAACCAGGGAAGTAGAGGAAGCACTTACCTGAATACGCATGGGGGAGTAGAAGAGATGGCAACCTGTACTTTCTCCTTTGGTTTCCAAACACTTTTAAATAAATGTACATGGTTAAGTATCCCAGGATGCGCTTCTGGGAAACTTATTCCTTCATCTAGACCATGCTGGACAAGGGATACAGAGGCAAACAATGCAGAGTGCTTGGGCCTCACCAGTGAACAAGTGTCTAACTAAGTCAATTGCCAAACTGAGATCAATATTCTGACAGATGTGAGCAAGAGCAGAGCAGAGAGTCGCCTTGTGGGTGTAAGGTGAGGGCTGCTTTAATGTGGTCAGGGGAGGAGGTCTTTCCAAAGACCAGTTGCTCATACCTGTAATCCTAGCTACTCGGGAATCTAAGAGCTGAGGAACACCATTGAAAGCCAGCCCAGGCAACAATGTCAT